GTGTGTGTGTGTGGTGTGTGTGTGTGTGTGTGTGTGTGTGTGTGTGTGTGTGTGTGTGTGTGTGTGTGTGTGTGGTGTCATGATTCGGTTCTGTGTTGCTTCCTGTCAGGCTTTTATTTTGATGCTACGTCCTGTTTTGTTTCACCACAGTTTTGGTCTTTTTACTTTCTTCATCACCCGCATTAGTTTCACCTGCTCATTATAGTTTGCACCGCATCATAAGCAGCCTTCACCCACCAATCCCAGCCAGATTGTTCTAGACGCCACCTCTCACTCTCCAGCATTTTTCGGTTTTGGTACTTTGTGTTTTTGACCCGGCTTGTTCCTCTGACTATTCTGTTCTGCCTTGCCCTCTTGCTTCAGACTGTCACTGTGTATAATTATCGGACTTCCCTTTGGACTACGTATTTGGATTCCTCTGCTGTATGTGTTTGCTGGCTCTGATCTCGGACTGTTTATACCGACCTGTGATTTTTGTGTTTCACCGTGTCTTGTATGGTTTTGTTTAGCGTTAGTTCTCTTATTAAAGAGACGGTTTTGTTTTACATTTCCTTGTCTGGCCTTTTAATTGAGTTCACCCTCAACATTTTTGGCAGCATAACGCGCCGATTCCTGACATGTGGTGTGTGCGTGTGTGTTTGTCTTTATATACTTGTGCGAACCAACCCCTGATGGAACACCTTTCTTGTGTGGACATTTCATTGGTGACTTTCACCAATGCGGTTTTTGTACTATGATGGACTCTAAATCCTGACTGAAAATCCTCAAACAAATCATTCTTGTGCAAGTGGTCACATAACTGCTTTGCAACAGCTTTTTCAAGGATTTTGGAAATAAATGGGAGATTGGATATTGGTCTATAATTAGCTAGGACACCTGGGTCAAGAGTAGGCTGTTTGAGTAGAGGTTTAATTACTGCAAGTTTAAAAGCCTGTGGAACATAACCTGTTAATAGAGAGAGGTTAATCAGATCTAGTATGGATGTGTTGATTAGGGGAAAGACGTCTTTGAGCAGCCTGGTCGGGATGGGGTGCAGGAGACATGTTGATGATTTAGATGAAGCACAACAGCAAACAGTAAAACACTGTTTTTAGTACAAACAGAGCTAAACCTTTTAACATTTGTTTAAAGCATGAAATACTGATGCTGACACCTGGCCTTTATATCCTCCTTAACAGAACCACCAAATAATAAAAAAAAAACATTATCTCTCAAACACACACACACACACACACACACACACGCACACACACACACATACACACACAAGATACAAGATGAACAAATATTAAAAGAAAGTGTCAATAAAACGTTTGCCACTAAGAATATCCATGACTCGAAACTGAGATCATGAATAAATTTAAGTCATGATATATCATGTTTATGCTTGGTGTACAGTCTGCTCTGCTATACCAACAGTCTGTGGTTCAGGCTGTCTCAAGGAGATCATGTCACATGAAAGATTAAAGCCACTAATGCAGGTAATGGAAGCCCAGCCACCAGTGTCTTCTTGCCTTCCTTATTCCCCTGTGCTTTATGAATGGAGAAGCCAATATATGACAGATGTCAGCCTCCACTGCCTCTGCCTCAAGACTGGATATTTAAACTGCAGTTTAAAAGGCCTGATCTTATTTGGGATGCCATTCCTTTTCCTATCTGTTCAGTCACATGAGTATATGACAGATGGTTATAGAGAACGTATTTTCTTCTGATCTTTTTTATAGGGCAAGACATAGCCTTAATATAAACCCGAGTCTTAGCAAGAGGGAATTTTGGGAGTAAAAAGATACGGAACAGCTTGAAATCAAATCATTGTGTTGACCGTGATGTTGGGTCATTAATTTAAAAAGCATGTAAAATATATTTGGTGCAGCTATAGCATTCTGCTTCAACACACAGAGGCCGTGTGTGAATGTGTTTGTGCCTGTTAATGTGTGCTGCGTACGTGTTATGATGATAGACAGATGTAAGCCACGGGTCGTTTTCATAGACCTTTGTTCTAACTGTTTGTTCACTTGGAGAGATCCAGCCCAGCAAGAAACAGGCAGTGTCAGTGACCCCTATCATCCACCAACGCTCCCCTGAGATCACAAACACTCACACAGTGTCAGCAGAGCTGATCCAATCATGCTGTATCAGCCCCCTACCAGAGCACAATGCATGTTTGTCTCATACATGAGTAGAGTCTCAGAAGCACAGAGTTTATTCAAACTGTTAAGGTCAGCAGGGGCTGTTTTCCTAACTGGATTCAAGAATGACTAAACTGTAATAAAATTCTAATAACACTCAACAAATTTTAACAAACATACTGTATTTGAGATGTGGGAGGGTGGTGCTGACTAAAAAGTACTGTCAGCACAATGAGCAGGTATAGAGGCTACAAAAATCAATCCTATTTAACCATAGCTGGAGTCTCAAGTCATTACTTGTGAGATATCAAGAATTCAAATTGAGGTTTAGAAGTAAAATGAGGAAATGTCATGAAGTATCAACCTGATTAATCAGTGTTAAGTATGTTGCCTTGCATCTCCAGTGCCAAAAACGCATTTTGCTTAATTAACTATTAAATGTTGTTGTTTATTTGCACCCTTATCTGCACACTCTGA